CACCTGTGTACTCTTCAATCTAGCTTATTTCACGCAGCCTTTTATGAAAAGTCTTTTCCATGTCATATGTGTTTCGTATATGTTAGTAGTTTCTTTGTATTGCCAAGAGTCTTTCAACATGTGAATAAATCACTTTTTAAAATCCATTTACAAGTTGATGGATATTTGGGTTGTTTTCAGTGTTTAGCTATTATGAATAAAGTGGCCATGAGCATCCGTATATTTCTCTCTCTTTTAAAAAAATTTGGACATAATATTTCCCCCATTTTGGGGGGGATAGATACTTAGTGAAACTTCTCAATAATATGGCAAGCACATTTTTTTTATAAGCAGCTTCCACACTTTTCTAAAGCGGTGGACCACTTTATATACCCATTAGCCGTGTACGAGAATTTTGGCTGCTATACATCCACACCAGCAGTTGATATCAGTCCTTTTAATTTTAGCCATTTTAGCGGGTTTGAATGCTATCTTGTCGTTTTAGTTGGCATCTCCCTGGTGACTAAGGATGCTGGAATAGTTTCATATGCTTTATTGGCTGGCTGTTTATCTTCTTTTGTGAAAGGTCTGTTGAAACCTTTGCCAATTTTTTTCATTGTAATGTCTTCTTATTACTGATTTGCTAGGGTTCTTTTATGTAGCTGGATATAGATCCCTTGTCATATCTGTACTGTGTGTATGTATACATAGATGTACTGTATGTTTGTACTATGGAGATCTGTCTTATGTGCATATACACATACTATGTAAACTTTCTCCCAGTCTGTGACTTGTCTATTCATCATCTTTTTTTTCTTTTTTTGAGACAGTCCCACTTTGTCACCCTTAGTGGAGTGCCATGGCATCATAGCTCATAGCAACCTCAAACTCTTAAGCTAAAGCGATCCCCTTGCCTCAGCCTCCCAAGTAGCTGAGACTACAGGTGCCCACCACAACGCCAGCTATTTTTTGTTGCAGTTGTCATTGTTGTTTAGCAGGCCCAGGCGGGGGTCGAACCTGCCTACCTCGGTGTATGTAGCTGGCGCCGTAACCACTGTGCTACGGATGCCAAGTTATGAATAAAATTCTTGATTAAAAATATATATATTTCTTCAATGTTACCACTATTTATAAATTGTTCTCCTAAGTCTTCACACTAATCTAGGCTGCTATAAGCAGTTTATGAAAGCCTTGATTGTTCCATATTCTCAGTAGCAATTTATTGTCATACATTTTAATTGTTGACAAAAGTATAATTATAAAACATACTCCTAATTTTTAATTTGCACTTTACTGATTGCCAGTGAGGGTAAGCATCATTTTATATGTTTATGGGTGGGTCATTTTGCTTTCTTCTACTATAAATCAAAGGATATTTTTATTATCCCTAAAAGTTTCCTGTGCCTCTTTGCAGTCAACCTATCTCTGTTATTATAGTTCAATCAGTTTTGCTGGTTCTAAAATTTCCTAATGACATCCTATACTATGTACTCTTTTCTTTTTTTTTTTTTTGACATGGTCTCAGTATGTCGCCCTCAGTAGAGTGCTGTGGTGTCACAGCTCACAGCAACCTCAAACTCTAGGACTCAAGCGATTCTCTTGCCTCAGCCTCCCAAGGAGCTGAGACTATAGGCGCCTGCCACAGCACCTGGCTATTTTTGTTGTTGCAGTTGACATTGTTGTTTTTAGCTGGCCCGTGCCAGATTCGAACCTGCCAGCCTTGTGAACATCAGCCAGACAGCAACAGAATTGCAGGTTAGCTTTTCAGCAAGTTCCTCCAGGGGAAAGTCCTATAATCTTGGTTTCAGTCAACACAGGCTATTCCTGGGGATTCTTAAGCAAGCACACAATTAAGCGCTGAAAAAGAGTTATTAGTTAGTTTTAAGATAGAATGATTGTTCCTGTTACAGTCTCACAATATTGCCCAGGCTGATCGTAAGTTCCTAGCCTCTGAGCTTCCTGCCTCAGGCTCCTAAAGTGTTGATATTACAGGCAGGAGGCCCCTAGAAAGATTTTTTTTTTTTTGCACTTAACATTGGTACGTTACTATTAATTAGACTCCAGGCTGAATTGGAAATTCACATTTTCCCCAGGAATATCTTTCCGTTTCAAGAGCTCACATTGCATTTAACTGTCATATACTCTTAAGCTCCTCTGGTCTGTGACAGTTTCTTAGTCCTATTGTGTTTTTTGATGACATTGACATTTTTGAAGAGGTATGGTCAGGACTTTTGTGGAATATCCCTCAATCTGGACTTGTCTGATGTTTTCTCTGGGGTTATAAATTTGGGGAAGGAAAACTTCATTTCATCATACCAGGGGCAGAGGTGCCTCATACCTGAGATACATCATTGGTGATGTTAACTTTGATCCCTTGGTTAAGATAGGAATAACACATTGATTTTGAATATACTGCTTATGTGAACAATAACATTAATATTAATAGCTACTGTTTATTGAGTGTTTGTCATGTCATTATTGTTTGCTCTGTGACGTAGATCCAAATTGTGCTAATTGCTTTCATAGTGCTGTCTTTGAGTGGTGCCATAATCAGCAGGTGGGATCTGTGTTCTGGGACAGACTGGGATTTGTAGCTCAGCCCTGCTCATTTCTGTATTAAGCCAGGGCCTCAGTTTCCTCATCTATAAAATGGATTAGTCAGAAGTAATACCTCATGGCATCACATGAGGATGCAAAGGATCTTGTCTCAGCCATGACCTCTTTTGACTTCACCAGACAATGTCCACCAGCCTCATCTGATAAGAAGTCCCATGCAAATAAACAAATAAGAACTCCTGGAAAGTAGCAGAAAATGAGAGCTGAATTTGGGGGGGCTTGGGGAATACGTCAGTGACTGTGTCTTTGGAGCATTATTATTTTCAGGCATCTTGTTCAGCTATTTCTTTTAAAACTTTTAATTTCCAAATAATTAGAGATCCACAGGAAGTTGCCAAAATTATATAGTATGGAGACATTCCATGTGTCCTCACTCTGGTTCCCCCAGTGATTCTGCAAAATGAAAGTACAATATTACAACCAAGAATTATGCATTACTATGATCCAGAAAGAGCAACACTTTTATAGGCACATTTTTGCATGTGTGAAATGTGTACTTTGTTCTATATAATTTTTATCACATGCAACTTCGAATAAAGATATCACAATCAAGATACAGAACTGTTCCCTCACCTAAAAGATCCCTCCCACTACCCTTTAATAACCAAGTTCTCTCCTCCCCCCAGTCCCCAGCCCTTAGCAACCACTCATCCGTGGCTATTGCTGTAATTTTATTTTAGCAATGTTGCAGATGTTGGAATCATGCAACCTATAACATTTTGAAACTGGCCTTTTTCCTGTTCAGCTTTTTACAAGGCTTATTCCATAGAAAATTCTTACAACAACCCCCTACCAGGATAGACTAGTACACCCATGTTACAGGGGGAGGAATCAGAGGATCAGAGAGGTGCAGTTCCTTGCCCAAGACCACATAGCCTACAAGTGGTCTTAGGTTGGTTTGTGCAGAAGCAATGTGTCCAAGAAGGATACTATTTTAGAACTGTTAGTTGCTTTCAGTTGCTTTCATCCTTGACCTCCTTTCATGGGGCCCAGTTGTGTGTGTATGTATGTGGTCTCTCCAAGGAGGATTGTTGAGTGGCTCTTATCTGTGGATTAGAAGTTAAGCCCTGTCTCCAAGGGCCTGACTCATTCAGCTGCAGAGATCTGGGAGTCCACAGCTGCTTCAAAAATAACTCCTCAGATCTGACTGCTATTTCAAAACAACAGCCTCCAAGGAGAAGTCAAAGTAGGCCCATGGCTCTAGAAAATGTATGTCCTTGGAGCTGCTGTTGCTTGCTGTGGGACAGAGGTTGGCAAATGGTGGTCCAAGGGCCACTGCTTGCTTTTGTAAATAAAGTGTTATTGGAACTCAAGTGTATTAGCTTGCATGCTCTCTATTTGCTTTCATGCCACAACAGCAAAGTTGAGAAGTTGTTGACAGGCACCTTCTGGCCTTAAAGTGTGAACTATTTACTCTCTGGTACTTTACAGAAAAATGTGCCAACCCTTGCTGTCAGAAAGACACAAATTGGTTTTTACCCCTCCAGGAATGTAGCCTCCAAGGTCATTAAAAACTCCCTCTCCAGCACCTGTGGCTTTGCAAATGGTTTTTTGTAGCTTCAAAATGCCCCAACTTCTCCTTTCTTTGCTTGGAAAAGACTTGTTCATTCTTCCACTATCTGTTTGTTTATGTGTCCATTTATTCATTCATCATGGAATATTCACTCCACCAGGACAGTGATCTTTGTGGGTTTTATTCACTGCTAGATTCCCACTGGGGAGAGCAGAGGCTGGCACAAGTAGGAACTCAATAGATATTTGTTGAATGAATGTGTGAGGGAGGCACCCAAAACTGACAGCCTTGAATTTTTTTAAACTGAGGTGAAATTCACATAGCATGAGATTAACCATTTTAAAGTATAGTTAACCCTTGAATGACTTGGGGTTTGGGGGTGCATTTGGAAATCCACATATAACTTTTGACTCCACCAAAACTTAACTACTAATAGCCTATAAATAACTAGAAGTTTTACTGATAACGTGAATAGTCAAGGAACATAGATTTGGTGTGTTATTATATATTACATTCTATACTCTTGCAATAAACTAAGCTAGAGAAAAGGAAATGTTTTTAAGAAAATCATAAGGAAGATGGGTGGTGCCTATGGCTTGGTGGGTAGGGTGCCAGCCCCATATACTGAGGGTGGCGGGTTCAAACCTGGCCCTGGCTAAACTGCAATAAAAAAATAGCCGGGTGTTGTGGCAGGCATCTGTAGTCCCAGCTACTCAGGAGGCTGAGATAAGGGAATTGCCTAGGCCCAGGAGCTGGAGGTTGCTGTGAGCTGTGTGATGCCATGGCACTCTACCCACTCTACCGAGGACGATAAAGTGAGACTCTAAAAAAAAAAGAAAGAAAGAGAATCATAAGGAAGAGAAAATACATTTACTATTCATTAAGTGGAAGTGGATCGTCATAATGGTCTTTATCTTTGTTGTCTTTGCATGGAGTAGGCTGAGGAGGAGGAGGAGGAGGAGGTACTTGCTGTCTCAGTGGTGGCAGAGGTGGAAGAAAACCCTAGTGTAAATGGATCCACACAGTTCAAACCCATGTTGTTCAGGGTCACCTGTGTCCAATTCTGTGGCATTTAGTACATACACTATGTTGGGCAGCCACCACCTCTGCCTACTTCAGAGAATTTCTGTCATCTCCGAAAGGAAACTCCATCTCTATGAGTCACTCCCCCTTCCCCCTCCCCCAGCCCCTGGCAGCCACTAATCTGCTTCCTGTCTCTATGTACTGGCCTGTTCTGGACATTTCTTTCATGTCCTTGGAATCATACACTACATGACCTCTGGTTTCTTTCCCTCAGCATCATGTTTTTGAGGTTCATCCACATTGTAACCTATATTATTACCTCTTCCATTTTTATGGGTGAATATTACTCCTATGGCGTATATTGTTCATCCATTTATCTGTTGATCATATCTGGGTTGTTTCCTCCTTTTAGCTACTGTGATTAGTGCTGCTATGAACAAGAACATATGAGCATTTGTTTGGGTTTCTGTTTTCAGCTCTTTTGGGTAGATACATAGGAGCAGAATTGCTGGGTCCTTTGACAGCTCCATGTTTCCCTTTTTGAGGATGACGGTATTGTTCTACAATGGGGCTGCTTCACCCACAGAGCCTCTGTGTTGCCTGCCCTAAGGGTTCTTTGATTGATAATGGCTGCATCAGGATGACTGTGGATGCAGTCCCCCCGGACCAGCAAACCTCAAAGGTTGTTAGAAATGCAGACTCACAGGCCCCACCCAGGTCTGCTGAATCAGAACTTCTAGAGGTGAGTTTTTTCAAGCCTTCTGGGTGACTCTAGTCCCCGTTAAGTTTGAGAACCAATGTGTCCCACCATGAGTGTGTCTCTCAAACAATCCCATGCAGGACAGCTACTGACACAATAATCACGAGGCTTTCTTCCACTTTTGCAGTCATTGAATGGGAGATAGAACAGGGCTTGCTGAGCTCTGAAAACGGGGACCAAGGAGCCACCATCTTCCTTCGAGAGATTCAAGACCTCAACAAACATATCCTGGAAGACTGTGCCCTCAAGATGGTGGACCGGCTCCCAGACGGCTGCCTGGACACTGATGCCCAGAACTTTCTCAGCAGCCTTAAGGGGCGCATCACCAACACACAGCCAGGAGTTCTCAAGGCCCACCATCTGCCATGGAGCCGTGACCTGGTAAACCCCAAGAACAAGGCTCACGCTCGCTACCTTAAGGAGCTGAGTGAGCAGTTTGTGGCCAGGGCCAACCACCAGGTTCTCGAACACCTCCGTGAACTGGAGGTGGCCAGACAAGAGTTGGGGTGGCTCTATCAGGAAATCCGTCACCACCTTTGGCAGAGTGTGGAGGTTATCCACACCTTCTGTGGACGCCAGGAACTCCTGGCCCAGCTCGGGCAGTGGCTCAGGCAGAATGACGGCAAGCCCCATACCCCTATGGTGCTTTTTGGACCTCCGGGCATCGGAAAGACAGCCCTGATGTGCAAGCTGGCTGAGCAGATGCCAGGGCTGCTCGGCCCTAAGACAGTGACTGTCCTGCGGCTGCTGGGGACATCACAGCTGAGCTCAGACACACGCAGCCTTCTCAGGAGCATCTGCTTCCAGGTGTGCCTGGCCTATGGGCTGCCCTTGCCCCCTGCCCAAGTCCTGCATGCACACACTAGAGTGGTCCAGTTTTTCCACACCCTCCTCCACACAGTCTCCTGCAGAAACTTTGAGTCTCTAGTGCTCCTGATGGATTCCATGGACGACCTGAACTCTGCCCACCACACTCAGAGGCTCCGCTGGCTGCCTCTCAAGTGCCCCCCCAGGGTGCACCTCATTCTCTCGGCTTGCTCCTCCCCTGAGCAGAGGGTTTTGAGTACCATGCAGCAGATGCTTATGGACCCAGGGGCTTACTGTGAGGTGAAGCCCCTCTCAGGAAACCAGGGGCAAGAGATGATCCAGCTTCTGCTGGTGGCTGTGAGAAGGACCCTGAGCCCAGTGCAGAGGGACCTGCTCTGGGCCAGTCTCCCAGAGTGCGGACATCCAGGGCGGCTGAGGCTAGCCTTTGAGGAGGCCCGGAAATGGGCCTCCTTTACTGTGCCAGCCCCATTGGCCACCACTGCCGAGGAAGCCACACACCATCTCTGCACCCGCCTGGAACAGATGCACGGGCAGCTCCTTGTGGCCCACATGCTGGGCTACATCGTTTCTTCCCGGTAAGTCTCTGGGTTTTATTTAAACCCATTTTTTCTTTTTTCTATAGCTCAGGCATTCATTTCCTGCTGGAACAGATCACCAACTGGGAGGCTTAGTGCAACAGACATTTAATCGCTCATATTTCTGGAGGCCAAAAGTCTGAATCAAGGTGTTGGCAGGGCTGTGTTCCTTCTGGAGAAGGTTCTAGGAAAGATTTGATTTCATTCCTTCCTCTTTGGTTTTCATTGACAGCCATTCTTGGCATTCCTTGGCTTGTCTCTGCCTTCACCTTCACATGACCATCTGCTCCCCGAGTGTGTGTGTGTGTGTGTGTGTGTGTGTTTGAGACACTATTGGTCAGGTGGGAGTGCAATGGCGTCATAGCTCACTGCAGCCTTGAATTCCTGGACTCACACTATCCTTCTGCCTCAGCCTCCCCAGTAGCCAGGACTACAGGCCCCTGCCAACCAAACCTGGCTAATTTAAAAAAAAAATTTTTTTTGTAGAGAAAGGGTCTTGCTATGTTGCCCAGGCTGACCTTGAACTCCTGGCCTCAAGCAATTCTCTTGCCTCAGTCTTCCAAAGTCCTGCTTTACAGATGTGAGCTTCCACACCCAGCTGAGATACAGTAGATCTTAAATGTCTTCAACACACACACACAGAGTGGTAATGGATGTATTGACTAATTTGATTGTGATAATCATTACACAATGTATAATGTATCAAATCATTTTGTACACCTTGAACCAATACAATTTTCATCTGTCAATTATACCTCATTAAAGCTGGGAAAATAAATGTATATAATGTCAGATAATTAAGTTCATTAACTCATCCTAGAAAAAGTGCTATGTACCTCATTGCTAAATCTCACTGAAGTCACCTTGGGAAGCTATGCACTGATGCCAGTGCCTACTCACCCTTCAAAGAAATTTTGGAACTCTTTTTCTGGAATTGCCATTAGAGCTGTCATTGTATAAAAAGGAAAGAAGAGACTGCCTACACGGTTGCTCAGCTAATGAAAGTTTCTGGGTTACAAATGCCAATAAACCTGGGGCATGACACTGTGGAGTCTTTGCTCAGAAATTCTAGGTGTGGATAGGGAGTCAGAAATAACAAGCTACCGAAAGGAGGGTGTTGATCAGAGTCACCCAAGCAGCCAGTCTTCCTCCCCTAGGAAGGCCGGGTAGAAGCCAATTAGCAGAGACACCAAGCAACAAAACTTTTTCTTTTTTTTTTTTTTTAACTGCAACGGATGACTCAGGTACCTGTAATCCCACCACTTTGAGACACCAAGGCAGGAGGATTGCTTGAAGGCAGGAGTTCAAGACCAGCCTGAGAAACATAGTGAGAACCCATCTTTAAAATGAAAAATTAGCTGGGCATGGTGGCACCTGCCTGTAGCCCCAGCAATTT